GTCTCTCTCTGTCTTTTTCTGTTCTGGCTAGTGCACATACCCTATAGCAAAAACCTCTCTGGGGTAAAAAAAAAAAAAAGGAAAAAATACTATTAACATATACATGCTACTGACATATCAAGGTCCTTAACAGGTTATTTATGGTAAGAATTTTTTCATATGGCTTCTCTAATTCCAGAGGGGTCAGGAAGGGAAAAAAGTTAATGTTTTAATTAAAAAAAAAAAAAACAGGCAAAAAAAAGTTAACAAATTGCTGAACCTATCAACACCTCAAAAGAGAGCAAAATCCTTAAATCTGGAAAACAAAACATAGGAAAAAAATAATATTTTAGTAGAAAGTCATAAAATTCTATTTTACAGTTCAGTCTCATGTAATTAATCTCTCTTTTGTTGAGTTTGCAGTTTTACTATGGTCCAATCTTTCCATTTAAATCCTGGAAGTTAACATTCAATGTTATTGATATTTCTGGACTTGTCCCTAGCATTAACATGTTGGTCATTTTCTTGGTTGCTTTTTGTTCTTTTATTTCTGTCAGTGTTGTTAGTTTCCTGGGTAAAGCACTCCCTTCAGAATTTATATCTTTTCTTATATGAAGGATAATCTTGCCGGGTATAGTATTCTTGGTTGAAATTGTTTTTCATTTAACACTTTGGATTTATTTTCTCATTCTTTATTTGCTCGCGTTGCTTCTAATGAGAGGTCCAATGTTAACCTGATGGGATATCCTTTGTGAGTGACCTGACGTTGCTCTCGCCAATTTTAGTATCTTGTCTTTGTGGATTTGGCCAGTCTGGCTATGATGTGCCTTGGAGAAGATCTTGGGTTGATTCTATTACGGGTCCTTTGTATTTCTTGGGTCTGGTTATTTGAATGCCTCTCTAGGTTTGGAAAGTTTTCTTCCAGGATTTCATGGAATAGATTATCAATGCCCTTATGAGTCTCTTTGCCTTCTGGGATATTAATTATCCAGATGTTTGGGTGCTTAACGGTATCTAGTATTTCTCATACCTTATGCTCATTTTGGGGGGGTTATTTTCTCAGCCTTTTTGGGGATTTTTTTCTAGGTCAGAGGTTTTGTCTTCAGTATCTGAGATTCAATCTTCTGCATGGTCTAATCTGCTTTTAACACTTTTGAGGGAGGTTTTAATTTCCTGTATTACAGCCTTCATCTCTAACAGCCCTGTTTGATTTTTTTTTTTTTAAATGGTAAAAGAACTTCCTTGCCTCCTGTAACTCATTGTCTCTTTTCTCTTACACCTTCTGGAGTTCATTGTCTCTCATCTCTTGCATCTTCTTTAGATTTGTCACTATGAATGTTCTGAATTCTTTTTTGGACATTTCCATGAGTTCCATTGTACTGTCTGTGGATGATGAAGGATTGTTCTTTTCCCTTGGGGGAGAGATATTTTCTTTGTTTCTCATATTTCTTGTGCTTCTGCGGTTGTTTCAGATCATCTGATGGGTTATATGTTTCTGTATAATTTCTTGGAGTTAATTCTGAGTGTTCAGAGGTGTGTGGAAGGTGGTGATTCACAATCTCTCAGCAGTTGGGACCCAGCAGTTAGCGTAATGGCTATGTCGCAGGACTCCCACGTAGTCGACCGTGGTTCACGTCCTGGACCCGGTGGCTTAAAACTCACACCGGGCGCGTGTGCATGCGTGCCCAAGATCCCAAGAGGAGAATGGAGGAGAAGGGATTGCAGCGTGACCATCCCCCCTGGAGGGGGATTTCTCGCTTTCTGTCTCTATTTCTCTCTCTGTCTGTCTGGTGAGCGCATGCGCCCTACAGTGAAAATCTCTCCAAAAAAAAAAAAAAAAAAAAAAACTTCTCTCAGCAGTTTTGTTTCCCTGGTGCCCATGTGCCCAAGATCCCAAGAGGAGAATGGAGGAGAAGGGATTGCAGCGTGACCATCCCCCCTGGAGGGGGATTTCTCGCTTTCTGTCTCTATTTCTCTCTCTGTCTGTCTGGTGAGCGCATGCGCCCTACAGTGAAAATCTCTCCAAAAAAAAAAAAAAAAAAAAAAACTTCTCTCAGCAGTTTTGTTTCCCTGGTGCCCATTAAGCAACGTGCACATTTTTTTTTTTTTTTTTGGAGAGATTTTCACTGTAGGGGGCATTGCGCTCACCAGACAGACAGAGAGAGACATAGAGACAGAGAGTGAGAAATCACCCCCCAGGGGGAATGGGCACGCACGCACACGCGCCCGGCGTGAGTTTTAAGCCACCGGATCCGGGACACGAACCGCGGTCGACTACGTGGGAATCCAGCGACATAGCCATTACGCTAACTGCTGGTTCCCAGCAACGTGCACATTTGACTTTGGATCTGGATATTACAAAGGGCCTACAGTTTCTAGGGAGTAGGTGCATCTGGGCTGAGCTGCAGGGTTTCAGCGGAGAGTTCAGAGGTGTGTGGGAGGAGATGAGCTTTGCTCTCTTTATCTCCATACTTCTCCCTGCGTAAACTCTGCAGTCTCTCCTCTGAATTTTAGTGATTCGGTGTATTCATTTTTGGATAATTGCTTAGAGAAGGTTTCTGCAACTGTAAGATCATGTGCTTCCCTTTACTGTAAGGTACTTCTGTGGCACTTTCTGTCCTCTACTGTGTTTTGCCACATGGTATCTACAGATTTTTAAAGAGGAGTTTCTTCAGGCAGCAGGTTCAGTAAGGGTTGAGGATTTCAACCTGAGGTTTTTGGGGTCTGGAATGTGGGATTTAGAGCGGAGATTCAGTCACCTTGGTCCCTGAACACGGGAGGGCACACCTCAGATTTAAAAGACTTCTGCCCCCTACAACTTTTAAAAAAATTTACCAGGTATGGGGGTAGGGCGGGCAGCAGGTGGCGCTGTGTTTAAGGTGCTGGACTCCCACATGGTTGATCACAGTTTGAGTCCCAGATGTGGTGGCTTGGAACCCATACCAGGCACATGGGCGTGCATGCTCAAAGTCCTGAGAGGAGAATGGAGGAGAAGGGATTTCCGGCATGGCCATAGCCCCTGGGGGGTGATTTCTCACTTTCTCTCTCTCTCTCTCTCTGGTGAGTGCATGCATCCTATAGCAAAAATCTCTCTTTAAAAAAAGAAAAAATTACCGGAGGGCATGTGAATTCATAATGAGGGGAGAGAAAAAGAGAGCAAGAAAACCCTGTAAAGGGTCATGCTGCAGTCTCCCTCCTTTATTCTTCCCTCTCACCAGGATTTTGGGCATGTGCACACATGTGCCTAGCATATCTCTTAAGTCACTGAGGTTAGGACTTGAACCATGGTCAGCCATATAGGATCCAGTTCACTTAACCACTGCATATAGGGCTGGCCCTCTAGTATATTCATGTAAATGGAATCATACAATATTTATTCTTCTATCTGGCATTCTGTTCTATATACTATTCATGATGTTACACATACCAGTAGTTCATCCTTTTGTTTTACTTTGCTGTATAGTGCGTGTATTCACCAGATAAATATTGAGAGAGGGAAAGTGAGAAAGCACCTTCTTAGAGGGTGATAGCCATCCACAGTCCCTTCTCCTCCATTATTCTCTTGGGATTTGGAGCACACATGCACATGTGCCAGGTTTTTCTAGCCTCCCAGTCTGGACATAGTTGGCTGTGTAGGTTCCAGCCACCTTAACCACCACACCACCATCTAGCCCACTTATTCTTTTTTTATTGCTGAATAATATTTCATATTATGTTTATCAGCTCATCAGCTTAAAGATACTGCACCTAGTTTTAAGCTGTCAATAATGCTACAATATACATTTCTTACAAATGTTTCTGATTTTTTTACAAATAAAAATATGCTTTTATTTCTCTTGTGTGAAATTGCTGGGTCATATGGTAAGTGTATTTTTTTAATGTGTGTTCTTTAAAAAATTCATTAATTTGACCAGACACACACACACACACACACACACACACAGAAAGAGAGAGAGAGAGAGGGGAAAAAGTGAGAAAGCAAGCCACCAGGTCTAGGACATGAACCGTGGTCAGCCATGTGGGAATGTCCAGCGCCTTAACCACCATGCCACATGCTGGCCCCAGTAAGTGTATGTTTAACTATTGGGTTGTCAGAAAAGTCACGACATCCTTTTTCTATGTTTTTTTTTTCTATGTAAAATGTGTCATGACTTTTCTGACGACCCCAGTATTTAAACTGTCAAAGAGGCTCTACCATTTTGGATTCTTACCAGGTGTTTAGTTTCTCCATATCTTCTCCAGTGTTTAGTAGCATCAGTCTTTTTAAATTTTAGCCATTTTGTTGTTTTTAGTGTTATTTCATTGTTCTTTAAGTAGATGTTGAGATATAAGTTACACATTATACAGTCCACCCATTTTAAGTGTTCAGTGCAGTGTTTTTTAGAATGTTCAGAGTTGTGCAACCATCACCACAATCAATTCAGATCATCCCTTAAAAGAAAGCTGCATGCTCCAGCCATCCTCACTCTATGCAACCACTATCTACTTTAAGTCTCTATAGATTTGCCTATTCTGGACATTTTATAAATGGAATCATATAGTATGTGGTCTTTTGTAACTGGCTTCCTTTTGTTCTCAAGGTTCATCTATATTGTAGCATATATCAGTACTTTATTTCTTTCTATTACCCAATAATATTTCATATATAGATATATAACTTTTTATTATCTATTTATCAGTTAATGAGCATTTAGATTTTTTCCATTCGTGATTATGATTAATGCTGCTGTGAATATTTTTGCACAAGTTTTTTTTGGTGTAGATATTGTTTTTATTTCTTTTGGTATATATGTAGGAGTAGAATTGCTGGGAAATTGGATAACTATATTTAGCTTTCTATTAGAGATGAGGGGTGGTGGTGGTAGTGGTTCATTTTTATGACTTTGTACTAAGAAATTCTTATCAGCTACAAACAGAATTGAATCTCACATTGAATTAAACCCTTTCTTCTTGCCTTCCCACCTCCTCAAAAATACTTTGGACTTTAATACTTGATTGATCATCCCTTTTTCCTATTTTACAGAGAAAGAAAGCTGGCCTGAATTTTGTTGAAATACCAGAGAAGAGAAATTAAGTGGACAGTAGACAAGGTTTTTCCAGTTTGCATAATGTAAGTTCTTTTCACTATTCTTGGCCTGAATCCTGTGTTAGCTGACAAAGCTGTTTCTATGGAAACAAATAGTCTAACCTCTTAGAATGTCAGAGGAATGCTGATCACTTAAAATGAGACTTCCCAGCTGCTGCTGGTCAGAGGGCATTACTTGCTAGAGAAAGGGAGGAAAGACACATTGAAAAAAATTCTAGAGTTCTGAACACTAATATAGACTGAACCTGTTCATACATAGTATATCTTTTACATCCTTGTGCCTAAAAGTTAAGAAACGATTATATAGGAGATGTCTTCCTACTAACCTGTCTTGTTTTCTTACTCTTGAAACTGAGTAGGGAGCCCCTAATGTATTTTCTAAGGTTCTTGAAATATAAGGTCCATTTACATTGTAAGGGCGCAGCAGCATAAGGGGTATGTCTTCAGACTTTGGTTATGATAATGCAACAACATTGACTGTGAATAAGGGCCATTTGACCTCTAAAACCCTCACTTAAAGACAAAGTTTTCATTTTAATATGTAAGATGTTTTATAGGCTGGAAACTGCTGGCTGTGAGCTCAAAGACCCCAGACTGAATGGCTCCAGAAATCTGAACAGAAATGTGTTTATCTAAGGCCTCACCAATCAAGAATGCCCATTAGATGATCATGTCCTCTTGAACTAATCACTGAACTAATCTTGCACTTGGGACCTCTGCCCCTAATTTTGCCTTTAAAAATGTCTGTGGGAAGGGGACCAGCAGTTAGCATAATGGCTAATGTCACTGGACTCCCACGTAGTCGACTGCAGTTCGCATCCCGGACCCGGTGGGTTAAAACTCACGCCAGGCGCGTGTGCGTGTGTGCCCAAGATCCCGAGAAGAGAATGGAGGAGAAGGGATTATGGCGAGACCATCCCCCCTGGGGGGTGATTTCTCACTTTCTGTCTCTCTGTCTCTCTCTGTCTGTCTGGCGCCCTATAGCGGGGGGGACGGGGGGGACACTTCTCCAAAATGCCTGTGGGGAATGTCATAGGGAGACCGGGTCTATTCAGCATGAGGTGCCCACTCCTTGCTTTGCGCTCTGCAATAAAGCTGTACTTTCCTTCATCACACCATGTGCCTATGATTTGGTTTTATAGCACTTGGGCGAATGAACCTGATTTGAGTTTGATAACAGTTTTTGGTGACCCAGGTGGGACACAAATGGTTATATTTCCTAGTATTGTTTTCATGGGGCCTGTGTACCCTTTGACTATTGCAGACTTCCCCAATCTTAAGCTTCCTCTTATCCTACCCTCATAGCCAGTTCACACAAGCAAAAGCCCTTTCTCTCCAAGTTAACATTCAAGTAGCTTTGGCCTGTTAAGCTAAAAAATTCATTTTTTTTGTTTTGTGAACTATGTAAAGATTTCTTATTTTTGCTTTCTTTTTCTTTTATTTAAATTTATTTGCATTCATTCACTGTACATCATTACAGCATACAGAGTACACTGTATATTGTCTCAATCAAGCATATCAACAAACATGATATTGTCAGCAAATAATTTTCCATTTCTTGTTTTCTGTATGTTTTCCTCCCCCTCCATCCTTGATTCCCTATCTCTTACCCTCTGCCATTTCCCACTCAACTTCACCACTGTCTGCTTTTCCCCCATATTTTATTGAAATACTAAAGATCTTAATCTAAGTATTTTCATATAAAAAACACAGCTGATATATACATTTCCATGAACAAAAGTCTAACTTTAGACATCCTATAAAAGTAGCACCTAGCTGGGGCTAGATATCTTACTGAAGTCATCAAATACATATTTTTTTTTCTGAAACATTTTTTCATTTACAGTTTTTAATACATTCAGTCACATTATTTAGCTTACAAGGTGGTCTTTTTTTTCTTTTTTTTTCCCAATTATTTATTTATTTAATTTTATTTATTCATTCATTCATTTCAATATGACCAGTGAGAGACGCACAGAGAGAAGGGAAGGAAAGTGAGAAAGCATGCCACCAGGTCCGGGACTCGAACCTCGGTTGACCATGTAGGAATGTCCAGCACCTTAACCACCATGCCACCTGCTGGTCCCACAAGGTGATCATTTCAATATGTGAACATTTCTCCCCGGTGGAGTTGATCAAAATATAACAACACTGCCTCCCTGTCTCAATAATGCTTTCTTTGTATCCCTCCTTCAAATGTTTTTCCCCAGGCCCCACTCCTCTACACACACCACATCTGGCATTCACATCCATCTCTTGTGTTTGTACATCCTTTAGCCCGTCTGTTTCAGTTATAGAGTGCGGACATTCGGTATATATTAAGTGGGGGTCATACAGAGACTCTCCTTCATAGCCTGGCTTGCTTCACTCAGCAGTAAATCTTCCATAGTCTTCCACTTTCTGTCAAAAGCCAGGGTTTGGTTGCTCTTAATGGCTGAATAGTATTCCATAGAGTATATGTGCCACAGTTTTTCAATCCGTTCAGTCGTATGGGGGCATTTGGGTTGGTTCCATGTCTTAGCAATTTTGCTTTCTGGTGGGAGTGGGAGCAGGAATCTAATTGAGATTTAAAATTGGGCTTTTGAAGTATCCTCTCTTTGCTTTAGACTTATAATTGGAGGATTAAGAAGAAAGGAATTAAGGCTAGTCATTTGTAAGTGCATTATCTTTGTAAGACTGTATATTATTTACACATAAGAAGATGATTTTCTAGTTCAGTCATTTACCAGCTTCTGAATTGTCAGAAGTTTTTGTTTGTTTGTTTTAGATTTTTGTCTTAGGGCTTGTGAACTTGACAGAGGGAGACAGAGAAAGTAAGAAATCACCCCTCACAGGACTAGTCCCATTGCAGTCCCTTCTCCATTCTCCTCTCAGGATTTTGGGCGCATGCATACACGCCCAGCATGTTTTGATCTAGTACTGAAACTGCTTAGTCTGCCATGCGGTATTCAACATCTTAACCACTATGCCACCTGCTGACCCTATCAGAGGACTTAGAAAAAATATATTTTTCAAGAACAGAAGAGTGCAGTTACTTTCATCTGGGACTCTCTGACTGTTTATTGATATGTATTGACTGCATATGTGAGCTGGAGTATTCATAGATTGCCCCAAATCTGTAATGATCCTAATTTTTAAAACTATAAGGGTGTCTAGCAGATGGCATAATGGTTACATCACTGAGTTCCAACATAGTTGACCACTGTTGATGGCTTAAAACTCACACGGGGCGTGTGTGTACTCCTGTCCAAAATCCGCAGAGGAGAATGGAGGAGAAGGGATTATGGCATGGCCATCCCCCCCCTTCCCCCCCAGAGGATGATTTCTTGTCTCCTGTCTCTCTGTTTCTCACTGTCTCTCCAGCACCCTATAGCAAAAATCTCTCTAAAAAATAAGAACTATAGGACCTAAGATACATCATAATTATTTTTTTGGTTCTGGAATAACTTTAGGATCTTCATGGCCCTCATGAATTAACTTGTGAGCACTGTGTTTCAGAGTGTTCTATGGTAAGATCATTATTGAATAGAGGTGGTCTGGAAAGATTTCTTGAAGGACGTGGGGATTAAGACAGATTTTGAAGGTAGATAACTGAAGTAGTTTATAGGCATTTGGGAGGAAGAAAAAGGATATAGGATAGGGACAAATGAAGGGATTAAATTAGAAGATTTTTGTAGAAGAGTAGTAAAAAATATAGTTTGAAAAGTTGGATTCACCTTTTGAGTTTGATCTATATTCTCCTGATAATGTGAAAGACATCAGAGGTTCTGAATAAAGGATTGACTTGCTCATGTGCTTAAGTATTTACCCCTTACTAGGTATAATGGCTACAGAGGTGAACAAGATCAATCTCTGCCAGTGAGGTCATTTGCCTGAGTAATCTACAGTCACCTTGAAATTAATTCATCCAACACTAACCCATAGCTCCCTTTGATTTTCCTCCCTTTCTATTTGACTTTCTTCCTGCATTCTCCATGGTAGTTTATGAATTGTTATTCACAGCCACCCAAGGATAATGGTTAAGAATGATAGCCTTAGAATCACGTTCATATTCTAAAGCCTTCTGTTTGTTTGACCTGGTGGTGGGCAGTGTCATGGATTCAGAGTGAGTCTGACTGCTTTCTGACCTTAAGAAAGCCCTACTCTGATGGAAGATATAAATGTCTGAAGACAAAGATATAAATAGCTTTTGCCCTGCTTGATGAAGTATGTGACAGGGATTATAGGATCCTAGGAGGATGTATTTGAACTAAGAGTAACAAGAAGTGTAGGCAAAGCTTAAGATTGTAGGAAATCTGATGTTGGAGACTGTTCTCTTAAACATTATGTCTTAGGTAACTAGGTGGTCATAGTGGCATTAATTAAAATTGGAAATAGAGAAGAATAAAGAGAACTTGAGGGAATTAAGGAGAAATAGAGCTTTGATTTTGAACCCATTAATTTCTAGATCACCATGGGAAATTTCGTTAGGTAAAGTCATGGGCGGGAATCTTGTTTCTTGTTCTAGTTTGTTCCAGTACCTGTAATAGGAAATACCTGAAGCTGGTGATTTATAAAAATAGAGGTTTATATAGCTCACAATTTGGAGGTCTGTGATCCAGAAGTCAACTGTGGTGGGGTTGTACCACAGCATGGTGGAGGACAGAAAAACATGGTCTGGGTTCCATATATCTCTTTTATAAACCCACTGGAATTCAGTCATGGGGACCTTACCGTAGTGACTTTAATCCTGATTTCTGTGCAAAGGCCTCACCTTTGAATACCATAATCAGATTACTTTCTTAATCCCATTACAGTGGCTCAGCCCATAAATTTTCAGGGAACATACTCAAACTATATTATCTCTAGTACCTATCCAGGGGTAAATGGTCAATTTCTTTTGTTTAAAAATCACTCCTCTTTTCTAAATCTTTGGTTCTTTTACCTCCAGAATTAAGGATTAATATTTAAAACCTTATATAAACTAGACCCCAGTCAGACTTTCTAATCATATCTTCCACTATTCTTCTATTTTAATTTAACTAGCCTTACTTGTACTGTCCCCACATACCTTTGGTTTTCCTGCCTTTGGGTTATATGGCCCATTTGTTGTTCTTCCATCTTGCTTTCAAGGCCTACTTTAATCCCCATTCATCATCTACAAAACAGGCATACTTCTAGAGTTGTAAATGTTAGCTGTAGTTAGTCTGGCCCCTTAGCCTAATGATTAAGGGAGCCACATTCCACACTGGTTGAATCCTGGCCCCATTGACTTAAAGCCAGGTGCAGACGTTTGCATGTCCCAACTCCTAACAGGGTACAGAAATGGAGAAGAGATTGTTGCACAACCACTCAGCACTGGGGAGTGCTTTGTCTCTCTCTCTCTCTCTGTCTCTCTTGCACATGCCCTCTAGCAATTAAAAACATATTCGCGGGGCCAGCAGGTGGTGTAGTGGTTAAAGCACTGAACTCCCACATGGTTGACCACGGTTCGAGTCCCAGGCCTGGTGGCTTGATTTCTCACTTTCTCTTTCTGTCTCTCTGTCTCTGGTGAGTGCTTGTGTCTTACAGCAATTTAAAAACAAAATAACAGTAATAAATATAATTATTTATTTTAAAAAAATATTAGCTATAGTTGTAGTTGTTGTTACTACTATTACTACTACTTTCTTCTCCTCTTTCTCCTCATCTTTTTCCCCTACTATGTGCAAGAGATATTAAGTCATACTGATTCTATAGCTTATGTATTTCTTTTACTTTTTTAGATTTTTGTGCCTGTGTTCACCAGAGACAGAGGCAAAATGAAAAATCACCCCCTGGGGGGATGGCCATGCTGCAGTTCTTCCATTCTCTTCTTGGGATTTTGGGCATGCATGCACTTGTGCCTGAAGTATTTTTCAAGGCATCAGGTCTGGGACTAGAACTATGGAGCTGGCCATGTGGGATACAGTGCCTTAGCCACCACACGACCTGCTGGCCACCATATGTATTTCTCGAATATAACTTTGCTCCATCTTACTGTTTTAGTTCAGGATGCCATTTCTTTTCCTTTCTTTTTAATTAGCTACAGGGCATGTGGGCTTGCATAGTTAGCCACGTGGGATCCAGCTGCCTTAATCATCATAGCGCTGGCTGGCCCAGGATCCCATTTCTTATAGATACTTTCAAACTGGACTTATTGTCAACCTTCAGTCAGTTCTCTACACTTCCACTTCATGTGATCCTGTTTAAAATCCTTTACTGATTCTTTCTACTTTCAGGGAAAGTGCTTTTAGCTATAAAACTCCTCAGTTGGGATCAGCAGATGTTATGGTTATGTTGCTCGACTCCCATGTAGTTGACCACAATTCAGGTCTTGGGCCTGGCAGCTTAAAACTCACACTGGGTGTGTGTGCCCAAAATTCCGAGAGGAGACTGGAGGAGAAGGGATCGGGGCATGGCCATCCCCTCTTGGGGGGGTGATTTCTCACCTTCTATTTCTCTGTCTCTGTCTCTCTGGTGAGTGCACACATACTACAGTAGAAAATCTCTCTTAAAACAAACAAACAGAAATCCCTTCTTGGTCTGGTCTCTTGCTTGCCTTTCCAGTTTTGTCATTATTCATGTACAGCATACTCCCATTGTCTCATCTAGCTTTATTCTATTCTGTTCTGTTTTCTGGAAGTGACATATGGTCATGTACTTCCTTACTGTCTGGCTAATTTTTAGTTGCCCATAGAAATGTAACACAAAGATAAGAATCATTATGTCTTTTTTTTTTTTTTTTTTTAAGAGATTTTCGCTATAGTGCGTGTGCACTCGCCAGACAGACAGAGAGAGACATAGAGACAGAAAGCGAGAAATCACCCCCCAGGGGGGATGGTCACGCCACAATCCCTTCTCCTCTATTCTCCTCTCGGGATCTTGGGCACTCACGCACACACGCCTGGCGTGAGTTTTAAGCCACCAGGTCCAGGACGCGAACCGCGGTTGACTACATGGGAGTCCAGCGACATAGCCATTACGCTAACTGCTGGTTCCCTGAATCATTATGTCTTGAGTGTTTCCTATCACCCCTCACTACAGACTGTTTTAGTGTCCATTGTGCATCTTTTGTGAATTTATGACATTTCAAGTTCAGTTGAAGAATATTCATTGGTCATTTCCTTTATGACATGTATCAAGATAAACACCGTGGGTATAAAAACATGACCCCTGTCTTTAACAAATCTAGAATGTAGTGAGAAGAGATCCATTGGGGAATAATAATTATTTTGTTTGTGTCTCTCCCAATAGTCTGTGAACATTGGGAGATAACCAAACCAGAATTTTAAGTGGAGTAATGCCAGGTTGCAGAAGTTTTTCTGAGAGTCAAAGACTAGATCTAGATAAACAAGCATACAGAAATGATACCAATAGTCTAAGCATGAATTCTGACCTAGATCACTTGACCTAGTCTCTTGCATGGTCTTGTATAATTTTCCCTCATGACTTAGTGTAGAAAATATTGACATAGCCTTAGAGTTTTTGAGCTGAATTTTAATTTCAGTTTATATTTTTAAACTATCATATGTATTAGGTAAAAAAATGTATTATTTATTATTAAGCCTTATTTTCAATATCCAGTAATTATGGTAAATAGAGAAAGTTTAAAGTTTTTTTATTTTTCTTGAGAGGTTTTTGCTATAGGGTGCATGCACTTGCCAGAAAGACAGAGAGATAGAAAGCAAGAAATCACCACCCACCCACCCGGGGGGATGGCCATGCCGCAATCCCTTCTCCATTCTCCTCTCGGGGTCTTGGGCACACACGTGCACATACCTGGTGTGAGTTTAAGCCACTGGGTCTGGGACTTGAACTGTGGTCGATTACATGGGAGTCCAGTGACATGGCCATTACGCCAACTGCTGGTCCCAAGAAAGCTTAAGGTTTTAATTTTCTGAAAATATGTACACGCCTAGATTTTTTAAAGTAAAATTAAGTGTAGTATTACAGTAACTCCTATACAAATTTCTGCTTACTTGTAATGAAAATGTTAAAAAAGCTGAATGTGCATTTCTGTATAATCAACATATAAAACTTAAGAATTACTAACAGACTAATAGCTCTTATTTTAGTAAAAAAGGTAATCTAATGATAAATAAGGTACCTATTTGTAGATCACAAAGTTATAAATAAGAAGTTAAAATTTGGATAGTAAACAGAAAATTCTACAATACTGTAATTCTTCTGAAAATGTAATTTTAATGGCTTATGTAGCTTGCATCCATTTTCCTGAGTGTTGACCTAGTGACTTTCCTCATAGCACAGGTGGTTTTGTGTTCAACTATCTATCTCATTATTTGTACTGTGATTTGAGAAAAGATTGGTAATTAGGAATATCTCCTGAAAATCCAGCTTTTGCTTAGTTTACATTGTACTCTAACCACCCTATTTACTGAAATGCTGCTCAACTCAAGGAGGTAGTAAGTTTATTACTGTAAATATTTTTAAAGTCTCAAGTGAAAGAAGACTAATTAGATTTAATGTGTGGGTTTACACATACATAAACAATCTGCCTATTTGTGTCTGAAAATGGCTTGATGAGAAGACAGTGTCATACGTTAAAATATTTTCTTGTCTAAAATATATTGAAGGATTTTTAATAGGAGAAATCAAGTTAATACTAATAGTATATTTTTAATTCCATAACTGGCATACATTATCTCATTTACAACTCAGAACAATTCTGTGCATAAATTTTCCAAGTGAAGCTGAGGTTCAGAGACAAAAACTGGTCTTAAATCCTAAAGCTAGAGGAAGTGGCAGAACCATAATGAAAATTAACTTTCTTGTCTCCAAGTTCAGTATATACTTTCCAATGTACCATATGACTTAAACATTTTTTGAATGGTAACAAATACTACCATTTTTTCTAAATCATTATAGTTAACATCAGTTCTTTTTTAAAATGTGACCAATTACAAAGGTTGATAACTATGTAATCCTTTTCTTACTTAATGTGGTTTTATCTTATAGATGCCTAATTAAAGTTTTTTGTTTGTTGGGTATCTTCATCTCAGAAACTCCCCAAAATGAACGAATAGTCTTCCAAAATACTGCCTATGTTTCATGTGAGCCACTGACACGGCTTGCTACATGGCAAATCAGTTGAATGTCATTACTTTTTTTCAACAGTTAACTAGGAAGCTATTTCAATCCCATGTGTATTAATTTAGCATCATGTGTACTATGTTGAGACAACTGTAAAAAGATGATTGAAGTATAAAACACCCTTTTATACTTCAATTCTCTACCAGACTCATACTTGGAACTTTTACTTTCCCGCATTGGTAGACCTTCCGATGTATCATTTTTCTCAGCTGTAAAATTGAAGAGTGTGCTTCAAATTCTTGGGAGGGGACTTAAAAAAACAAAAAACAACAAACAAACAAAAACTTTGATTTCCTCAGCATTTTCTGTAAAATGAAAGTACTTAATTTACACAGCAAAATAAAAATTTGATAGATATTTTCTTGTGTGTGGATATTGAAAGTAGGCTACATAAAATCTGCTTTTATGTTGTAATTCTTATATTTTTCCCCCATTTTTCCTCTTAGATTTCCTTCATGGATACTTTTTCATAGCATTATTTTGAGATGTGAGAAGTTTTTTTTTTTTTTTGAAGTAACATGGATTTTATACTACAGAATCAAGAGCATTGGCTTTATAGGAAAAATTGATTTATAAAAAGTTGTACAGGTTTTTATAGATAACCATGACAACTTCCCATTTGAATGGGCATGTTACAGAGGAATCAGACAGCGAAGTAAAAAATGTTGATCTTGCATCACCAGAGGAACATCAGAAGCACCGAGAGATGGCTGTTGACTGCCCTGGAGATTTGGGCACCAGGATGATGCCAGTACGTCGAAGCGCACAGTTGGAGCGTATTCGGCAGCAACAGGAGGATATGAGGCGTAGGCGAGAGGAAGAAGGGAAAAAGCAAGAACTTGATCTTAATTCTTCCATGAGACTTAAGAAACTAGCCCAAATTCCTCCAAAGACTGGAATAGATAACCCTATATTTGACACAGAGGAAGGAATTGTCTTAGAAAGTCCTCATTATGCTGTGAAAATATTAGGTAAGTAAAAATAGTAGAATAATCCTAAAAGTAGACTTTTTGCTTTAGGTTGTGCATTAACACTAATGTGTACGGGGAGGAAGAGGGATTTGAGAGCATGTAAGTAATGGCACTTTGAATTCCAGAGTAAATGTTTTCTTGGAAAGGCCATATAACTACTAATGTATCATCGTTTACTACTAGCTACATAGAACTAAAGCATGTAGCTTAACTATTTAATCATTGCAACAGATTGAAATTTTTTAGATATAAAAAGTCTACATGTGGCCTAAAATTTAAAATCTTAAAATTCTCTATCACACTCACAGAAAAGTACTGAAAAACAATTTTAAAATTTTGTATTTCTGATTTCCTTGAAGTTTATAATATAGTAATGAAATTAATAACTAGCTTAAAATATGTTCTTTGTGGGACTAATGGATGTCATAAAGATTATGTCTCTCGACTCCCACATAGTCAACCGCAGTTCAAGTCCTGGACCAGCTGGCTTAAAACTCATGCTGGATGTGTATGCATGTGTGTCCCAAATCCCAAAAGGAGACTGAAGAAGGATTGCAGTGTGGCCATACTCCCGGGGGTGATTTCTTGCTTTCTGCCTCTCTGTCTCACTCTGTCTCTACAGCAAGTCCATGTGCCCTCTAGAAAAATAACTCTTTAAAGAAAAAAAGTGTGTTCTTTATGACCAGAAATAAGAACTGATACTGTTCACGTGGCTTTATATACAAAATACGGCTCCGAATTCCCTATACTGTACCCAAATTTCATTCTGAAAAAGACAAATGATAAAAGGTAGACCAACGAAATTCAGTAGCTATAAACGAAACAAAAAAGAATTCTGTGACTAAATAAATTTCAAGAACATGGGTTTAATGAGCTAAACAGTTTATTACAGGACTTAGAGTCTTTTGCATGTTAGTAGACTTTATGCATTTTCAAGAGACAGTTATGACCAGTGTATCTATGTTCCCAAGTGTGACTGATCGATCATTGAATTTATTGTTTCCCCTGCCTGCACATCCATGCACACATGCATACACATAAGTGCTCACTGAACTACTGTTAAGTTGATAGAAGGGGCCAGCAGGTGGTGTGTTGGTTAAGACACTGGACACCTATATGGTTTGAGTCCCAGACCTGCCTGCTTACTTTTTCACTTCCTCTCTCTCTCTTTGGTGAGCACATGTGCCCTGTAGCAAATTATCAAATAATAATAATAATAAATTTAAATAAATCTGAAAAAAAAAAAAAAGTCGATAAAGTCAGGTTGAGAAATGTTGCCATATCCATTACTTTTTTCTCCCTGTAAGAGTAAGTTAACTTGAATGTAGTACAGATTGAGCATCCATTATCTGAAATGCTAAGGACCAGAGATGTTTCAGATTTCAGATTTTTAAAATATATTTTGGAATATTCATATACATATAATGAGATATCTTAGGGATGGTACCCAATCTAGACAAGAAATTTATTATGCACACTTTTCACTCATAGCCTGAAGATAATTTTCCACTTATGGCATCACATCAGTTCTCAGAAAGTTTAAAGTTTGAAGGATTTCAGATTTCAGATAGAGATGCTGAATTTACTTTTTATTTCTTGTTGGTTTACTGTTTTTTAGATTAAAAAAAGAGAGAGAGACTTCTATTTTTCTATGTGAGGAGATAATTTTTGTTGTTGTCATCATTTTGCCATTCTGTACTAGGTGCTTTAGCAAACAATATTCTATGTAATGCTCATAGTAATCCTGTTATTGGGACTCTGTAATCTTAATTTGGGAGCTAAAGAAATTGAGCCTCGGTTAAATCATTAGTTTAAGACACTAAGCTAGTAAGTGGTAGAGCCAATTTTGAGTTTGCTAGATGTGAAGTTGATAATATTGCACAGCGTGGAGGGTTTAAAAGGGGACTGACGTCCTGCCTGCACTTCAGTTATCAGGCCAGAGCTGTGACCACTCATAGTGGAGCACCTTTTTCTAATATGCCCAAAGGTTCCATAGATTTTTTTCCTCACTGAATCTCTTTTTTCCAAGTCTAGAACAGTTTCTACTACAGCACATCGTCTGCTGTTTTTTTTGTTACAGATTTTTTGCAAGATCTACATTTCAAATGTGCATGCTTTTTTCTAAGTTGTAAGAAATTATAAATATGTGTCCAGTGACAGTGAAGCCCGCTAATGTCTTTAGGTGTAATTACAGTGAAAACTAGGGATGATATGTTTTTTATAATACATTTATATAGAAGAATTTTATGCTCTTTTTTCCTAAGAGTTTTATTAGAGTAAAAATACTTTATCCCTGTTTGCCTTTTATTAGTTTGCATTTCCCACAATTCTTTTTTTTTTTTTTTTAATGATTGTGTGTTTTCTACTGGAGAAAGTTTATGTTATAATATATTCTACTGTAATCTGGATTGAGTCTTCTCTGTTTTTCTGTTTAGATTTCTTTCCTTTTTTTTTTTTTTTTTTTGCTATAGGGTGCATGCGCTCCCCAGAGAGAGATAGAAAGCAAGAAATCATCCCCCAGGGGGGATGGCCACGCCTCAATCCCTTCTCCTCCGTTCTCCTCTCAGGATCCTGGGCACGCACATACATGTGCCTGGTGTGAGTTTAAGCCACTGGGTCCAAGACTCAAACCGCGGTCGACTACATGGGAGTTCAGCAGCATAGCCATTACACTAACTGCTGGTCCCTCTGTTTAGATTTCTTTAAAGTTAATGTATTTGTTCATTTGCTTTACTTAGAGTCAGACATGAATAGCCATCTAATAGACGATTTTCCTGTAACCATAGTAAAGAAACAAATACAGGATAAACCAGATTCACTTAGCAGTATAGTTGGTTTTTTTGGGGGGTTTTTTGGCTTGGGGCTAAGCACAAAACTTGGAGGTAGTTTTTTTCATATTTTTACTTTTTCCTATTTCTACTTGTATATTCTGTTGCTAACTTTTCTACAAACTTAGATTTAAGGACAGCTATATTTTCCTACCAATTTATAACCCACTGTGGTTTTCAGAAGTACCTTTGTGTGGTTCTTTAACTTAAGGCCATTTTATGTATTTTATTTTAAAGTAATTTGAAATATAGTACCAGATATTTGTAATTCATCTCCTGGGTAGGAGATTTAATCTTTGAGAAATTAGTGATGAGTTTACTGTTAATACACTCAAAACAAATGTCTAGGGTAATAGGAAACATGAAAAATTAGCATAAATTGTGGAGTTATTGGTTATAGTCTGAGTTTTAGGTTTTCTTTTGAAATGAAGTATAGTAGCAGTTTACCAAACATTTTTTTCCTGTTCATAATCTGCTAACACATCAAACTATAACAGAAGTACTCCTTAAAATTGTAAGTTTCTCCTTGCCAGTATTTTGATTAATACACACATGACAGGAGACGTCTCAGCCTGTTTCACAGCCAAAAATAGCAGCCTTGTTTTAAATGAGGGAAGGATGGATGGGACAACTTATTTATTCTTTGAGAGAAAGCCTTTGGTTTCAAAACGTGTATCATCATTTATCTGTGAGTATACAAAGTATTATTTTTAAGAATTGAAAATGTGATTTGAAAGGTTAGATGTTTTAATTGTCTGGGTGGGTTTTTGTTTTCTTTTGTTTTTTAAAGACAGGGGCTTCACTGTGTACCAATTTGGCTTCAGCTTCCTGAGTAGGTAGGAATACAGACATCTGCCACTATGTCGGCTTCTAGGGTGGGCTGGAAATTGAACCTGGGCTGCTCATGTATTCTCTGCCTGCGAAGTTGCAGAGTCAACCGCTGGGTGCTACTGCAGCTGTCTAGTCCTGGGTTTTCTTATTTTAATAAAAATGTTTGTAAATTTGTCAATGTACAGTGATATTTAAAGTGCAGAGATGGAATTGATAGACTATAGTTAGATGAACTGAGTTTTCTTGTTTAAAAACAGAATCTTATTGAAAATTAGAAAGTGGTGATATGGGAACTTAGTTTCCAAAGATTAATATTACTGTTATAAATTGTAAATGTTTTTGTAAGGGCAGCTTTTCTTAAGATTGTCTTTAGTTTTTTTTAAAAAAACTTATTTTACTACTAATATTGTTTTTTTTCTCTCTCTCTTTTATAATCTAAGCAAACTACATTGTAAGAGAAATTCTGAGAAATAGAATACAGGTTAGAACCAGTTGAGATATAGTAGGTAATTTTGTGTATATCTAGGTTATTTAGTTCACTATTTTTGTTTTTGTGTTCACATTTAAGTAATTTTAGGCCAGGGATGTGGACAAGTAAATATAGTAGACAGAATACTTAAAGAAAATTAATTAGGGAAGATTGCCATTTATCATACACATGTCTACACACTTTTGAAGAGACAGGAACAGGTACACACACACATACACTGACATCCCATGGTAAGCTCTCTCTTTTGTGGTTAATAAAGAGACTGGAAATTTGTGTTTATTGGCTATCAAACAGATTCTGAGGGTAAAGGAAAAAAAGACACAGCACCAAGGGAAAGAAACTAGGATTAATAAAGCTAATGAGTGAAACATTTTCATAATGTTAATTATAGCATGTTAGTGTCTATATTTTTTGCCAGATGTGTCTGCATAGTCAAGCTATTAAATCAAAAGAGTATTGACATTTTAAAGTAAAAGTGCTCTTCCACTTTTCCTTCTGAAATTAACTGTCTTGCCTGACCAAATGGCATATGAGAATTCTGTCTGATTGTGACAAATTTTTTTTATTGTTGGCTTTTAAAATAAAGATTTTTTAAAGCTAACGAAATTCCAGTGACAATTAAACCTTGAGTTTTACAGTTAGGTCAGCATATTTCTGAAAACTGTGTTTTTGTTATCAGATTTTTGTTAACTGCTGTAGGTATTTACAAGCAAATTTTATTAGCTGCTATTTCAGGGGCTTTTTTTGTTTTTTCTGGAAGTGATATGATTAAACCTGTCAGTACTAGCTTTCATGTTTAATATATTGGGACCATTTGAGAATTTTTTGATTTAGTCAAATTGCTAAAATTA